TCCCAGCTACTCAGGAGGCTGAGGCAAGAGGATTGCTTGAGCCCAAGAGTTGGAGGTTGCTGTAAGCTATGATGATACCACAGGAGACTCTAACCAGAGCAATAGAGTAAGACTTCACCTCTTAAAAAAAAAAAAAAGAGGATTTCCTTTATATTTTAACTTGAAGAAGAAAGGGTTAGTTAAAAACAACCACCATCATCAATAGCTAACCCAAAACCAAAATTTAGCAGAAGGGTGTAGGAGTTAGATCTTTTAACATTGTGGTAAAATATACATAACAAAAGATATCATTTTTAGAAACTGATTCAGTGGCCTTAAATACCTTTACCATATTGTTTAACTATCATCACTTTCTATTTCCAGAATATTTCATCGCCATTCTCTCCCAGTCCCTGTCTTCCCACCCCTGGTAAGCTCGCTCTCTGTGAATTTCCCTATCCTACTTATTACACCTAATGTAAGTGGAATCACAATATTGATTCATTTGTGTTTGCCTTACTGCAATTAGCATAATGTTTAGAGGTTATACCTGTTGTAGAAGGTATCAAAATGCCTTTTTACCACTGTTTAATATTCCATTGTATGTATATCCTACATTTTGTTTTTTCATTTGCTAAACCTAAGTTGTCTCTACTCTTTGGCTATTATAAATAATACTTTGAATAGCACCATACAATAATATCTGTTCAAGGTCCTGTTTTCAATTCTTTGGGGTATGTACCTACAAGGACAATTGTCATTGTCAGATCATATGATAGTTCTAAGTTTAACTTTGTGAAGAAATGCCTAATTGTTTTCCACGCTAGCTGTATCATATTACACTAGCACCAGCAATGCCCAAAGTTTTTCCCATTTCTCCACATTTTCATCAACACCTGTTATAGTTTATTTTTTGACAGTAGCCATCCTCTCAGGTGTGAAATAACATCTCATTATAGATTTGATTTGTGGTTCTCTAATGACTAATGGTGTTGAGTATCTTTACATGTGCCTATGGGTCATTTGTTTACCTCCTTTGGAGAAATGTCTATTCAGGACCACTGACCTTTTTTCTTTTAATAGGTTTTGTTATTATGGTTGTTGAATTATAGTTCTTTATATATGCTATATATTCATCCCTTAAAGATATATGATTTACAAATATTTTCCCCTGTTTCGTGTGTTGTTGTCTTTTCACTCTCTAAATAGTATCTTTTGATGCATAAATATTTTTAATTTTGATAAAGCCTTGTTTTCTCTTTTGCTACCTGTGTTTTTGGTATCATATCTAAGAAATCCAATGTCATGAAGATTTTCCCTAATGTTTTCTTTTAAGAGTTTTGAGGGGAGGGAGGGTGATTGGTGGGGTCATCTCTATGGTTTATCTTACAAGGGTATAAGTGAATCTTTCTAAAAGCAGAGTATAAATGTCTTAACTCAATAACTAAGAAAATGACATGAAGGTTATGTTAACCAGTTTGATGAGAGTATTTCAAAATGTATATGAAAACAGCACACTGTACCCCATGATTGCATTAATGCACACAGTTATGCTATAAGAAGTTTTTAAAAAGGAGTTTTATAGTTTTAGCTCTTCTCAGTAGGTCTTTGACCCATTTGGGGTTAATTTTTTTTTTTTTTTTTTTTTTTTTTAGACAAAGTCTCACTATATTGCTCTGGGTAGAGTGCTATGGTGTCACAGCTCATAGTAACCTCAAACTCTGAGCTTAAGCGATTCTCTTGCCTCAGCCTCCCAAGTAGCTGGGACTATAGGTGCTGCCACAATACCTGGATTTTTTTTTTTTAGTTGTTGTCATTGTTAGAGATTCAAACCCACCAGCCCCTGGGTGCATGTGGCCAGTGCTCTAGCTGCTGAGTTACAGGTGCCAAGCCTAGGTTAATTTTTATATGTGATTTAAGGTAAGAGTCCAACTTCATTCTTTTGTATGTGGATGGCTGGTTTTCCCAGCACCATTTGTTGAAATTACTGTCTTTTCCTCATTGAACAGTCTTGGCACCTTGTTGGAAACCAATTGACCATGTACTTGAGGATTTATTTCTGGGTTCTCTGTTCTACATGTATTGTATTGGTTGTATGTCTCTCCTTATGCCAGTACCACACTGTTTATAGATCGCTATATTTTTGCAGTAAGTTCTGAGATCAGGAAGTATGAGACTTTCAACTTTGTTCTTTTTCAAGATTGGTTTATCTTGAGATTTCATGTGAATTTGAATGGGGTTTTCTATTTGTGCAAAAAAAAAAATTGGGGTTCTGATAGAGACTTCATACATTTATAGACTATTTTAGGTAATATTGCCATCTTCACAATATGGAATCTTGCATTCCACAAAAATAGGATATCTTTCCATTTTCAGGTCTTTTAAAATTTCTTTTAGCAATGTTTTATAGTTTTCAGTATATAAGTCTTCTGCCTATTAAATTTATTCCTGTTTGTTTTCTTTTTGATGCTATTGCAAATGGAGCTGGTTTCTGAATTTCCTTTTATCAAAATAAAACTGAGTTTTGTGGTTTGATTTTCTGTTCTGCAACTCTGTTGAATTTATTAGCTCTATAGTTCTTTTGTGGAAGCTTTAGAATGTTTTACATATGAAATCATGGCATGTGTGGACAGAGATAATTTCACTTCTTTTTTAATTTGGATGCTTTTAATTGTTTTTTCTTGCTTAATTGCTCTAGCTAGAACTTCTAGTACTATGTGAGGTGGTGGAAGCAATCAAAAGCCCCAGTTAGACCCCACAATCCTGATATTTGGAGGATAAGATCCTTGTTGCCCACCCTGACTCTAGCAAGCTGCACCAAAAATGTGGGTTGTTCCCCACTTAGCTGCCAGACACAGGCAGCAGGCCTGGGAACCACTACCATAAGTGAAAGATTGACATTCACTGACATTTACCAGCCTCTTTATCAAGCTCCCCTCTGGATACTCCAAGTTTTTGACTAGACTCTAGACTTCCAAAATATAGATCCTCAACCTAGGATGTTTGGACTTAAGACTTTTTGACATTATGATGATGTGAAAGCAATACATTTTCAAAGAAACCACTTGGAGTACCCATACAACAGTTCTGTTTTTCACTTTCAGTACAGTATTCAGTAAATCCCATGAGATATTCAATACTTTATTATAAAATAGGCTTTGTTAGATGATTTTGTCCAAAGATAGGCTGACACGAGTGTTCCCTAGCATGTGTAAGTTAGGCTAAGCTGCGATGTTTGGGTTACCATATTTTCAACTTTGGGATGGGGTTTACCAGGACCCAAACCCATCAAAGAGTATCTGTGGCTCCTTCAGACATTTCCTGCCTGTTTTATGGTTCTTTAAGTGGAGAGACAGATTTCTAGAGCTTCCTACTCTCCTGTGTTCCATAATGTCCCTACACCTCAAGAGTTGGGTTTCACATCTCCTTTGATTACCTCTTTCAGCCTGTTACATCTTTGTTTCAATAAGGTCAAGATCTTGGGGTAAATTCTTTGTGGGATAGTTGGTTTCATTTTGTTTCAAAACCACATATTTTATGACTAATCCTGATTTGTTTTTAACTGTACAAATGTGATAGGACACCCTTGTATATCTGAAAAATAAAACTTGAATGTGATTGTAAAGATAATTCATGAAAATTTTATTCATGTCCGAAATCTACATAAATCTAAATTTGGCAGGAACTTTTTGTATGTAATTTATTTACATTTAAAAGGCACAAATGACCCATTTAAAATATTTTTTCAAGGACAAATCAGTGAAACAAAGTCTTAGAAAGAAACATACTGGCTTTATCTGTTCCGTTGTGTAACCAATTTTATTTTTGTCAGAAACAAAGAAACGTTATTTCTCTGTCCTACATTTTCACCATTTTCCTCCTTTCAAAATAATTTAAAGTTAGAATGTTAAAGACAATCAGTATCTCAACTATATCATATTTTTAATAGCAAACACATTTTATAATTTTATTGCGAAGACGGTGAATGTTGAACATCTCTGTTTGAAGATAAACTATTCATTGAGTATCTCCAAGCACACAGTGCTGCTAGCACAATTCCTGACATTTCCTGTTCTCCAGTGACGGGTTGGCTGTCTAATCATTAGTTTCTGTTCACAATGTTCTTAATTCACGTTTTACTTCTGAGAAATTACAAAATAGATGTGTGGGAGATTGTTTTAGTCTTAATGAAAGACGTATTAACTTCTTTTTTTATTTTAAGAATTTCTCTTGGCAAGAAATGAATATACATCTTTTGACCAAATGACTAGATTTTCTTCTAGCAAAAGCACCCCTCCATTCGTAGAGAAGACCACTATCGTTGAGGCTGGGCAGTAAGGCTTTATAGCAAATCTTTTGGCATTGTGCTCCCAGGCTGTCTGGAGAATACAGTGCCAAAAGATGGGCTTCTAGAACTTTCTCCTTCCTGGCCTTACTGAAATTCCCTCTTAGTTTTAGCTTCTCTTTCACTTCTAGGTAGAGGAGCAAAGTTCCCTGTGAAGTATTTCTTTCAAAGTTCTAAGGAAATAAAAGATAGAATTTGGAGAATGAAAGAAATGTTTCCAGCATAAAAGTGTCCTTTTTTTTGGGCCTGTGGCTTCTGTCCCTTTACAGTGGAGGATGTCAGCAGTAGGACCCCTGACTCAGCTGCTTCCCAGGGGAAGCTCCGTTTCCGGCCCAGGTAAATGGCCTGCAGCCTGGTCCCCACCCAGCCACATCTGAGAAGGCCGGGAGGGCAGGGGCTGTTTCACTTCTCCCCGTCCCAGCATGCCAGGCCGGCCCTTCACCTCTCACCACTACCCCCTCTCCTCCCGCCCCCTCTTCACCCCTCTCCCACACATGTCCCTCTCTACCCTTCCTCTGTCTCTGCTCTTCTCAGAAGTTAGCTTACAAAGCAAAGTTGTAACTTCTGAATTCCTGTTTTTCCAACCACCCTCATGTGACAGGATATCTCCTTATTGGAGGTTTTCCCTAAATTCAGGAGCCCTTTAAAAGCAAGCGTTTCCTCTGTCCTTCTTTTCAGCAGGGCAGCTCCGGGCACTGGGGTTAGGTTGGGGGCCACTCATCAGGTGCCTGGTTGTTTTGTTTTTTGCATTGCACCCTCCTCTCCATCCCTGGAAGAAAAGGATAAGCTTTGGGCCATGAGGCTGGCCCTGCTGCTGGTGTTTGTCTCCGTCCTTCCCGGCGGTGCTGTGCAGCTACTGGGTAAGTCTGCTTTGAGCCAGGGGCTCTCTGACCTGGGGGCCTAGGCCACACCTCCTCCTTTTGGGTCAATGTTCCTTCAAACACCTGTGCCACACACTTGTGGGGAAGTTGTTTACACCTGCTCACCACGCATGGCAGCTGGGGAGCTGCGGGAGGGAGGAGGCTGCTGCTCTGGTATCAGGTGCTGGTTGGCCCAGAGCCCCCCAGAGCCTCTGTCTCCCTTCTGAGTTCTCTCATCTCCTGTACCTCCTTCCCTGGTTTAGTCGTGCAGAGATTTCTTCCTCTGCGGTTTGTTCATTCTGGTTTCCAATTCGTAATATTTCTATGTAACTCCCCCACTCAGAAATACCATCTGAGTGTCTTTGGCTGCAAGGAGGGTAGCATGATGTCTCCTCATCTTCATTTCAAGGATGCCATCGCAGATCATCCCTTCAGAAGCAATTCCATCCACCTTCTATGCTTGTTTTTTTTCTGTGCATCATTTTCATCATTCATACATTTTGTCGTTAGAAAGCTCACTCTTATCTGTATTCTACATTGTTCAAACTGCTATTCCTTTTCTTCTTTTGTCCTGGACACTGGAGAGTACTCATTAGCAGCAGATTCAGAGCTTTTCAGATTCTCACAACCACTAACAAGTCTGTCTTTTCTATTGCTGTGGACTCAACCTGCTTCAGCTTCAGAATGAGCGTGCCTGGAAGCATCTTCATTCCCGGTTGTCTTTGGAAAAGATGTGAAAGAGATTTTAAACTCCGATTTTTTTTTTTTGATCCTCCTTCATTCTATCACATTAACAAACACTGAGCTTGATTTGTCTGTGAGCTGATACAATAGTGGAGGATGGGAAGCCTGCTAGGGAGAGAAGTTTCTACCGCAAAGGTCAAACCAGAAGGGGCATTATGTAATAGTGGTTATAAAAACACAAGAGAAGACAGTATGCTTTGCACCCTGCCTCTCATTTACTAGCTGTGTGACCTTGAGCAACCTACTTCATTTCTTTGCTCTTTAATTGCCACGTTTGTGAAAGGGGGAGAATAGTACCACCTCCCTATCTGTCGTGACAATCCAATGAACTACAACATGTGAAATGTTTAGAATGGAGTATGATCCTTAGTCGGTGCTTTGCAAGTCTTAGCTATTAAAGGCAGTGACATCCTCCCCCCCCCCCGCCCCAATGGTAATAAAGTGTCCAATAAAAGTACAATAAGCATTTAAAAGAGAAGTTTCCCATGAAAGAATGTCAAGAAGAGATTCCTGGAGCCTGGGGAGATATTTCACCGTTGTCCTGTCTACAAATGCCTTCCCTCACTGAACAATCAGTGCTGGATATAAGCTCCTTAACTGGGACTTAGAAAGACTGCAAGGTAGGGTGAGGCATCTCCATGATTTTCATCTTTTCCAAGATGTTTTTCTTGTACAAGAGACTGAAATATTCTTCACGGCCCCAAAGGTAAAAACTAAGACCAGTAAAAGTCCTCCAAGGGTTGTGTTGTCTCAAATAGAACTGTCTGCTTAGGAGATATGCGTTCCCTGCCATTAAAGATCTTTAAACAGAAGCTGAGTAAACAATTCAAGGGCTCGTTAGCAAAGCTGACTCCATAACCCAGCAGAGCTCAGTAAAAAACACAAGTAGCCTCATTATATGGCCACACTGGAGGGGAGCAAAACTAAAAAGAAAAAGGTGGAATTGATTTTATTAGTGTATTTTATTAAACCCAATATATCTGAAACATTGTCATTCAACATTTAATCAATATAAAAATTATGAGGCTATTTTCACAGTCATCTCTTCAAATTAACTCTTCTGAGTCTGGTGTGTGTTGTGTACTTACAGCCCGTCTCAATTCACACCGGTCTCATTTTCAACTGGGCCCACTAGTCACACGGGGCTGCTCCCCACTCTGCAGCACAGATACAGACCCTTGCCTTTTTTTTTTTTTTTAAGTGACTCAGTCATGCTTTTGAGGAAAAAGCATGTCTGAATTTGCTTGGGAATGCTTCCCTCCTGCAGACGGCAGGATGCCTTGCTCTGATGAATGCCTTCCTCGTGGAAATCACAGACCCCGGGAAAGGAGGGAGATGCTGAAATCTGTTTACTTAGAGAATAAAAAACAGGCAAGGGAGCCCCTTCTGAGATTTAGTTTTTTATTATTTACTCGAGAGCCTATAATTCTCATTTTACCTTTTGTTGGCCCAAATGGCCTATGAACAGAGGACTCTGGGTGACAGCACGGCGCCTGCTTAGTCAGCAGCAGATTAAAGGACACTGAAAACCTTTGGCACCCCACCCCTAACCCTTAGAAAAACCTATGAAAAGTTCACCCTATTTCTTGAACCCGGAATGTTTTTGTTCACCTCCAAGAGAGTGTGTCAAACCTTTAGCACCAGAAGCATCTGTGGGTTGACGCCAATGGATGGGGTGGTTCTACCCGGGAGCTAACAGAGACCCACGTGCCATTTCTACCCTTTTTCTGGCCTGTATCTTCTCTACATTCAGCACCAAAGTTTAGACCTCCATGGGCTTATTTATAATCACAGGAGACACATATCTTGAAAGCTGGTTAGACATAGACATTGTACCATAGTGGAAAATTTAACTTGGAAACGGGAGGGTTTGGTTCACAGGCAGTAAACTTAATACCTGGTAAGAAGAAGGGGAAGGAGAAGAAGAAGAAGAAGGAAGAACTGATCTGATGTGTGACATTTACTGATTTCTGTACCATAAATATTTCTACCATGCTTGATTTCAACCTATCGACAGGGCGCCCCTGGAGGTGGAGTTGAGAAGAAAGGCCAACAGTAGGCTCTCTCTAGCTGATGCCACCGTCCCCAGGGCAACACTGAGCCTTTCCAGGCTCTCATGATGCAGCCAGAGCCATGGGCCAAGTGTCATGAAAAAGGCTGGAACATCTGCTAAGAATGAGAGCGAGGAAAGTCTGGGTGGAGGAAAGAAGTTTGGTTTCCCTAAGGATCTGGTTCTCTCTGGCAATTACATTCTGATTTCAGTTCGCGTAGTTTACTCGGGAGGAGAGCCCAGGAAACACCAGCAGGGCAGTGAGAAGGTGAGGTGGGAAGAGGAGGCGCATTGACAAGCTGGTGGTGACCTCCATGGGCAATTGGAGCTGAGTTCTGTTGGTGACAGTGTAGATCGTGTGCCTCAAGGTCATCTCATCCAAGATGCAAGGATTTGGAGCCTTCTGCAATTGCCATCAGTCACTGATGAAGGACTTCCACCTTTGGGGAGTTAATTTGCTCCCCGCTTGGCCTCCCAAGTGCTATGATCACAGTGCCATTATGCCTGGCCTTCTTTTGGGTTTTAATGTCAGCATTTTTATTTGTTGATAGTGGAAAAAGTCTAAAAAATGTACAGCCTATCATGGTTATATCCCTAAATAGTTACCTCTCTAATAGCCTCATTTTCTTTGCTAGTAGGTTTGGAGATTTAATGGCTCATTGAATATGCTGGGATCATTTAAAAACATTTAGACATGTTTAAAAGAAAACTCACTCTATGTTACTGGACCTTTAGTCTTCAGTTATTTTTAACCTGAGATACTGGGTTGAAATGTGTTGTTTCTTTCCTAAATGTATTTGACCCTTGGTATTTCTGTCCTGGAATTAACCACAGCACAGTGTGTGCTCCTGGGTGGGGAACTTAACTTTTGTCAACCACAGCACATGATTGGTGTTTGTCAAATATTTGTTGAAAAATAAATGTGAGATTAGTGAGATCAAGTTAAGATAGATGGAGAATTGCTCCATTCTTTAAATACATGTTTAAATACATTGAAGTGTAAATATTAAGATGGATGGAGGGTCACTCCATTCTTTAAATACATGTTTAAATACATTGAAGTGTAAATATTAAGATGGATGGAGGGTCACTCCATTCTTTAAATACATGTTTGAATACATTGAAGTGTAAATATTAAAAAGGAAGAAAACTTACATGTTAGATCCTGCAAACAAGGCTATGGAGAAATGAATACAGCAACCCAGTCATCCTCATTTGTTTAGCTTTTTAATATTTCTATTACAATACCATAATTAGGTTGAACAGAATATAGACTGTTTATAAATACATTACTTGGGTGTGGGGGGATAGTGGCAAAAATCTCACAGGCTGGCCTTTGGCCCAGGTCTTGAATATACTTTCACAGGAAGAAGTATGATATTTAAAATCAGACATGTTGCCCAGGGACAGTGATTAAAAACTAAACTCCATGCTGGCTCCTCGGGGGGAAAGAATAGTGTATGATGAGTGTATCACCAGAAAGTGATAATTTTACATTTCCTTGTATTGTCTGACAGGGGCAATATCAAACTTACCCTGCTTCCGAATGGCAAAAGAGAAATACAGGAAACAAGAATAGATAAGTGTGTGTGTTGAAATAGAAGCTCTTCATTTCCAAGAGCTTTCTTTTTTTTTTCTAATAACTATAAACATTTCTCCATCGCTGTTCAGTAAAAATAAAATTTCAGGGGAAAAACTCATATTAAATAGACCCATAATCATTCATCCATTATTACATAAATAGCTTATTTAGGCTACTGGTCAAGGTGCTTCAGAGTTAATGAATATTCTTCCATTCATTCACTAATATTAGTTGAGAGATGATTTTTGCTCCCCGAAGAGAAACTATAATTTTGAACCAGAAAGATCAAGTCCATCTTCTCAAGGAATTTACATTCCAATAGAGGGAGAAAGATAAAACACAAATAAGCAACTAAAAGAAAAAGCATATGTATGGTAGTTATGTATTTATATAGAAAATATAAGAATAAGTTTGGATGGTCAGCTGAGTTGACACTTGAGCAGGACTTAATGACCCTTTCAAGAAGAGGGGGCTAAAAATATGAAGTCATTAAAGTAGAAATGACCTTGGAAGCTTTGAGGAACAGAAAGGCAGCCTGGAAAGGGGTAAGGAGAGGAGGAGAGGGCAGAGGGATGGCTGGGCTGGAACATGCCCTTTCTAGTGAGCTATGATGTGGGTGAGGGCTGGATGTACTTCTCCTGGGTACAGGGTTGAAATTGTTGCCAAACTATAATTAGAAGCAAAATCTCCTCCCATCCCAGGAAAACGTCTCCATAAAGGTGGAAGTGAAAGAAAACAGTTTTATTAGTGAGTTATGAAAGCATTCACCAGAATGAGGTGCTCATCCCAGGAAATCTGCTAAAGAGATTAGGGAAACAGAAAGAGCTCTCTTATCTGCAGCTCAGAGAATGCAACCTGTCACATTTGATAGGTTTTCCAAGGTGACAAGTTGGGTCCCTCTCTGCCCAGGAAACTGGGAGATCAGGTGTTATCTTTCTCGATGATTCCATTTCAAAGAGAGGAAGACCAGAGCAAGACCAGGGTGGCTCGTTCTGGGGTGGTGGCTGTGGAATTGTGTAAAAGAGAATGATTAATGAGTTAGTGAGGTTTGTTCTGAGAAACAGGACCTTTGTATGGTGTGTCAGAGAGAGTGGGTGTGTGTAGAGAGAGAGAGAGAGACAGTGTGAGAGAGTATTACTTAAGGAATTGGCTCATACAATTCTGGAGGCTGGCAAGCCCCAAATCTGCAGGGCTAGGCTGGACCCAGGACAGAGGTGACGCTGCAGTTCAAGTCCAAAGGCAGTCTAGCGGCAGAATCCCTTCACTGGAGAATTCTCCCTTCTCCCTCAGTTTGTTCTCTCTTGGGGCCTTCAACCTATTGGGTGAGGCCCTCACACCATGAAAAGTGGTCTGCTTTACTCAGATCAACTGATGTACATAATAATCTCATTAAAAAATACCATCCTGGCAATATCCAGGCTTGTGTTAGATCCAATATCTGGGTGCCATGACCCAGCCAGGTGGACAGCATAAAATTAACCATCACAGTATAATTTTGGATAGAGCCAATAGATTTCGCTGTGGCTGGGGAATGTGAGAGAAGGCTGGAGACGCAGAAAGACTCCTAGGTTTATAGGTTATGGATCTGGTGGATGCCATGAAAGAGAAGGAGAAGCTTGCTCCCGAAATCCCATCTTCCTTAGAGTTAAACTAAGAAGGAACTACAGATAAAAAAATAAGGCATCAAAAGTCAAATAAGCATAAAAATCTTTAAAAGTGGAACATGGTTCGTGCCTGAAGACTTTTTGAGTACCCTCTGTTAAGACACTGGTTTACCAACTGGTGAGTTGACTGAATCTGACCAGTTAATAAGTGTTTGCTGTTTGACAAGACGATCAATATTACTCAAGTAAGAGGTGAAAGAGGGCAGCGCCTGTGGCTCAAAGGAGTAGGACGTGGGCCCCATATGCTGGAGGTGGCAGGTTCAAACCCAGCCCCGGCCAAAAACTGCAAAAAAAAAAAAAAAAAAGAGATGAAAGATATATTTCTTATTAATGAGATATTACTGAGTAAAGCTACCTGAAAACTGGCAGATAAGCACTAATAAGAAGATAGCAGGTGGAATAATAATTAAGTGTACAGATATAGACAGAGGGTGCCAAAAATATGTATACTCATTTGAAGAAAGGAAAATGCTGTATTCAATTTGTAATACTCCGTATATACCAATACCATTTGTTATCTTCTGTATTGTATCTTGGATCTCTTGTCATTACAGAAGCCAAATGTGACTTGAGTGGTATAATTTTAATACATTTTTTCCTTTCTTACAATGTGTATTCTTTCTTTCTTTCTTTTTTTTTTTTTTTTCATATGAACCCACCACCTCCAGTATATAGGGCAGTGCCCTACTCCTCTGAGCCACAGGCACTGCCCAAATGTGTATTCATTTGGGGGGCACCCTCTGTATACTGTATGTGACAAAATTTTCCGAGCTGATGACCTTTTTAGATTAGAGGAAGCTAGATTATATTTAGGTGTTGTGATGAGCATAACTGCTTTTTAAACAAGTGTCCTTATTTTCTCATTTCCTGTATTTTGTCATGAGCAAAGTCATTCTATTAACATTTTAATTTTACTGCCAAGGGCGGGAGTTAGTCATTTTGCCCTGCTAGGACACGCATAACGGCCATATGAGATCAAGTGTGGAAGGAGCTCAGCTGGATGGGAGGAGCCTTGGGCAGGTGTTGTACGTTCTGTTGACAGAGGCCAAGTGCAGAGAAGCTGACAGGTGCAGCAGGTGTTATGGGTACAGGCTTCACTGTGGCTGATTCCAAGAAATCAAAGCAGCATTCATGAGTCATCAGGCTGTGGAAACCAACCAGGGGTTTGAAGCTGCATAGAATTAGGACTCCAGGTAGGATAGAGGCAGGAAGTCTCAAACAAGTGTGAACAAGAGCTGAGGCAGAAACACCTCAGGAGAAAATAATCTTTCAAGGCCAAAAGTTCTTTATAAGCTTTTTGGTGTTGTCCAACTTTTTTCTTTTTATTTCCTTTTTTGTCCTCTGCTACATATTGGAAGAAGAGTTTACTGGGCCACATTAAATGCACAAATACTAATGAAAGCTGATTAGCGAAAGAACAGTCTGTGCATACTTTTCTTTTCTTTTCTTTCTTTCTCTATCACCCTAGGTAGACTGTTGTGGTGTCATAATAGCTCAGAGCAACCGCAGATTCTTGGGCTCAAAAGATCCTCTTGTCTCAGCCCCTTGAGTAACTGGGGCTGCCCACCACAATGCCTGGCTAGTTTCTATTTTTAGTAGAGATGGGATCTTGCTCTTGCTCTTGCTCAGTCTGGCCTCGAACTCCTGAGCTCAAGCAGTCCACCTGCCTTGGCTTCCCAGAGTGCTAGGATTATAGGTGTGAGCCACCGCACCCAGCCCCGTGTGTTCTTTTCAAGATATCAGATACCACAAACAAGCAAAAAAAGCCTTACGAAAACAACATGTAGCTCACTGGCTGCAGGTTAGAAACCCCTACTCAGTGGAATGTTCTGGAGCTGATTTTGGAATGTGGGTGATGCCAAGCTCTCCCGGGCATTGACAACTATAACAGGAATATAGCTTGTAAAAATGCTTTGTAAATGCTTAAGAACCCTTCTAGTGCTGCCGTTCTAGCTGTGTTTTATTTCGCTGAAATGCTTTGATTAATTAGCTCATTTATTCAGACTTCCTGGCATCTGCAATACCTCTAGCTCAGTTTGAAAGAACCGTACAAGTAGAAGGGATTTAGGAAAATTTTTACAAGAAGTGTTTAATTTATATGTATGTCACAAACTTAAAAGAAAACAGTTCTTGAAGTTTGAATATTTTCTAAAAACTAAACAACAACCAAAAAGAAAAACCTCTGTGTGAATTCACTTTAGATATAAGGGGAAAAAAATATGCTTACCAGATCCGTTTCCCCCCTCTTTTGCAAGAGGAAGTCTGTTTTGCTAGCTAGCAGCTCTGTGCTTTAAGTCTGAGCCATCCTTACACATTTCCTTAAATCGCCAGCCCATGGTTATGAATAGAAAAAACTTTGCCCTCGTTAAAGTTATTCTCATACAGTTTTACCTCCAATGACATAAAACGTACATTTACTTTTCCTTTATTAGAAATGTCACAAATTATGAAACTTTCAAATACATTCTCATATGTTTGTGTTATATACATTTAATCTTTTTTTCTTTTTGAGTCAGAATCTCACTGTGTTGCCCCAGGCTAGAGTGCCAAGGAAGATAGCTCACAGCCAACCTCAAACTCCTGGGCTCAAGGGATCTTCTTGTTTCGTCCTCTGGAGTACCTGGGACTATTGGCACCCCCCACAACACCTGGCTAGGTTTTCTATTTTTAGGAAAGACAGGGTCTCACTCTTGCTCCTGAGCTCAAGCAATCCACACCCGCCTGGGCCTCCCAGAGTGCTAGGGTTAGAGGTGTGAGTCACCACACCCAGCCTTATACATAGTTTAAATGGGGAATGCCAACAAAAGGAAAGCTACTCTAATAGATGCTAATTTATCTCTGGACGCTGAATCTGTCTGATACCTGTTATTAGAAAGGAAAGCACGACAAAACAAAATAAAGCCTTGTCAAGTTAGCCCAACCTGGGTCACCCAGAAAGCACCTAATTTGAAAATTAGCCAGACATGAAGAGAAAATTGCCTACAGTAAAACTATCCTTAAAATGAAATAATATACAAATCCCTAGGGCTATAAGCAGAATAATCACACATAGGTTTCATCTCTGGCTCTAAACAGGCTGGATATACCGCACTTCAAAATCCTATTTGGAAGAAAAAAAAATCTTATTCTGGGGTATACAGGTGTTTAATTTTATAGCTTATTATGGTACCCAAATTTTCTTTTCTCAGATTGATATCATTTCTTTTCATAATTTGACTTTCCATTCATTCCATATTATGAAAAGGAGCATGTAACGCAGACATTTTCATGAGGTTTTTCATACTTAACTCGAGCAGCTTGAAGATGTCCAGCTCAGTGCTGGCCCCCAGGGTAGCTTCCATCCAGTTCTCTCTCCAACTTCTAGAATCTTTCTTCCTGGAGTCACAAAACTGTTCAGGAAAATGGTGTGGTTGGGAACTTTTGACCTAAAATATTGAAATATTGTCCTTGTTACCTGAACCCATTTAACCATGCTTGCTTTCTTCTTTTTTTCCCTTCCTTTTCTTTTTCTTCTATTTTTTTTTTTTTAACAGACACTAGGCAATTTTTAATTTACAATGAAGATCACAAGCGCTGTGTGGAAGCAGTGAGTCCCAGCTCAGTGCAAACTGCAGTTTGCAATCAGGATGCTGAATCCCAGAAATTCCGATGGGTGTCTGATTCCCAGGTTATGAGCGTTGCCTTTAAACTTTGCCTGGGAGTGCCATCAAAAACCGACTGGGTTCCTGTCACGCTATATGCCTGTGACCTGAGAAGTGAATTCCAGAAGTGGGAGTGCAAAAATGACACGCTTTTCGGAATCAAGGGAGAAGATTTATATTTTAACTATGGCAATAAACAAGAAAAGAACATTATGCTCTATAAGGGATCTGGTTTATGGAGCAGGTGGAAGATTTATGGAACCACGGATGATTTATGCTCTAGAGGTTATGAAGGTAAGAAGCTTGGAATTGTTACCTTTGTGTCAAATCTTTCCCCTCTTCTTAGCTGGAAACAAATCCAAGAAAACGATGTTCTTGTTTGGTGTGTACTAGAAATACTAGAAAGTAATTTTCCCTTTCAAAGGCCCAATGCCTCTTTTAACATTTCAGGGATAGATGAACTTAACTTAATATTTCTTTTCCTCTGGTTTAAATGATCCCTAGAGAAATGATTCATAGAACAACATTCTTTATCAAGTCATTTGCCTAGTATGAAATCTTGGCAAATTGCTGCACAATGTGGATTTCTATGTGTTTGTAATTTATGATGTCACCTTGTGGGGATTTAAAGACTATCCTAATCAGAAGATGAGGGGAAAGGGTGCGGACCTGTACCCAGAGACGAGACCAGGGGAGGTTCAGGGCAAATTTAATAAGGGGACTGAGATCCACTGGGCAAAGATAGCATCTGCACTGAGGGTGGTTGGAGGCTTGTTTTTATAACGGCCAAGGGAAATGAAGATTCTACAGCTTGCTGGAAGGTTCTGGAGGGTTAGGGTCTTTCCAGTGGAACTCTCAGTGTGGGACCAGGTGGAAACCTTTTGTTCTAGGAGAGGAGGAGGAGGAGGGAGAGGGGTTTAAACCCCCAACAATTAGAAAGGCTGAGGAATGAGCGTGTAAATTAATACACAGTACACTTAGTTAGCTAGTGCAGAAAGTGATACCACCAACCAGGAGGTGGGGAGATCATCTTATATAAGTTGGTTCCCTGAGCTGTTGCAGGTTAAATAAAATCAGAGTATTTAGACTTCTCTTTTATCAGGCATAGGCTACATAGAAAACAAACAAAATACAAAATAACTTGAAGCCTTTTACAAAGGTTGGCCTCTGAGTCCAATGATGTGATAACCACGTTTTAGGCTTGGATACTTGGTTATCATGCAGTGTTCTCCAGAACAACCTCAAGGTCAGAGGACAAAACAGAAACTGTTGCATGTTACTTGGGCTGCTGAGCTTGGCTGAACCCAGCTTACTGCAGCTGAGATGGAGCATAGGAATTCAGTTCTTTGTAAGAAGATACATTTGTTGTGGTTCATCTTGCAAGGGTACAAGTGAATCTTTCTATGATTAGAATATGAATGTTTTGACATAATAACTAAGAAAGTTACATGAAGGCTATGTTAACCAGTTTGATGGAAGTGTCTTGGATTGTGTATGAAAACACCACACTGTACCCCCAAAGTGCATCAGTGTACACAGTTACCATTCAGTAAAAAAAAAAAAAGAAGATACATTTGTGAACAGGTTTCATTTTCTGTCTACAGTATAGAAAGAAAAGAGGAGAGCAAGAATTGAAAGAGGGTAAGAGAAGAGCTCAGGAAGAATTTATTCCAGGGCATTTCTTAAACACAATGTAGGTTTAGAAAATACAAGAGGGCAACCTAAGTTAACGCCATCTTCCAAGAGAGACTCTGCAGAAAATTATGGGGCTGGACAAGGGTGTTTTAAACTTCACTGAGTCAGAGTCTATGAATGAGACCATTATGCTAACTGAAGAACTGAACTTGACTGTGCTAAGACATCAGGCTTATTTTATTTTAAAATGCAACACCATAGATCTCCTTCCTCTATTATTTCTGTTCTCCTGTTGGTTTTGAGATAAATACACATAGATTTAGGATAGCAGTTCTTAAGCTCTAATGTGCTTAAGAATCACTTCGAGAACTTGTTAAAAATGCACATTCTAAGTTCCCCTGCCACCCAGATTCAAAGTAAGCCTATCAGGGCAGAGTCCATGAAGCTATTCTATTATTTTTATGAAGACTTGGGTGGTTATGGTGTAGATGGTCCACTGACTATATTTTGCATACTCTCCCAAGATTTCCCAGTACTGAAGATAATTCTGTAGAGGGTCACCCGTAGCGTGACCATGAGATCCTTTAACAGGACATATTTTAGAACCAAATACAGAGGTTAGGTATCGTACAAGACTCTTTCTCTCTCTGAAGAAAACTTGTTGGGGTCGAGGCGTGGAACTGGTTAAAGAGAAGGATTATTTTGGAATAATAGAACTGGAACTGTAAACGTAGGTGGATGTGGTAGTTGTATGCAAGTTTGGACCACAAGAGGAACAGTAAATCAACTGTAGTTAGATGATTCATGAGTGAGGTAATTGGGGTTCTTTGGGTCACCAGTGCCTGGTGTACAGAAAAATTCAGGAATTATTAAATCAAGTAAGTTAGTCCTAAAAAAGCTCTTTCTGACTGGCCTCTATAAATCTGGCACTGACAATTTCTTGGCTAACTTTAACAGCACAAGGAGCCCTGAGGTGGTCTTCTCTGGTTTCCTAGATATGAAGAAACATGTGTCCCAGTAACTAAGAAAGGCACAATTATTTCTGAATCTACCCTGTTCCTTCTATGAAGTCTGATCTGGAAGAACAGTCCTTCAATTTAGTGGAACAAAAGCTAGAATAGCACTTTAAAGTTATGAACAACCAGTTCATTGACCAAAAAGTAATTTTTGAGGTAATTAAAAATAAACCTAGCATTTAAGGAAAACCAAATAAGTAGAATGAGGAAAGAAAAAGGAAAAGGGAAGGAACCAACATTTATTGTGTTTTTCCAGGGGGCAACATGTTTTACCAACTTTATATTATCTAAAAGACTGAATGTCTAGGAAAACCTTTTTCAAGTCATAGACTCTACAAAATGTAGTTAAGAAAAGAATTGCTACCTAAAATTAAATTCTGAATATTAGTTGGTGGTGAGTGCTCAAATATGTCAATGTAAAGGCTTTTATCTCCCCAAGAGGGGATTCCTGCAAAGATAGAAACTTTATTTTTATTTAGTTATTTTTTAAGATGGAACCTTTAAACACACTGGAGAATTCAGCTGTGTGAGTTGTTTGGTTCTTAATAGAGACACGAACTTCTCTGACCCTTTGGCTTATGCTAAACCATGATCAACGATGATTGTGCATTTCAATTTACTTTTCCTGTTGAATCCAGAGCTTCTGGCTTAATCTGTTTGCCTTCAGTTTTTAAAAAGACAGCTATCAATTGTAGATGGTATCTAAGGGTCTTGAGTGATTCATTTTCATGATGTAGACTGCAGAACTATGCCCAAATTCCCATTCCTAGTAATTATTGTTGAGGCACTCCGGTCCAGGCTGGCTTGACAAGACTCGGTTGGGGAAGATTTAAGGTTATTTTCCCTCTAATTCTGTAATTCCATAATTCTATAATTCCAACCAAGAGAAAGAAGAGCCTCTTTGTGCTGGAGAAAATGCGAACATAAAAGCTGGTGTCAGTAGAGGAAGGAGGAAAATCTGTCCCCCCAAATGGTGGAGTTACTCCTGAGCCCAAACTGCTGTGTGTACCCAGCAAAAGACCAAGGTAGAGGGAGAAGGGGAAAAACCAAGGGTCCCGTGTGTGTCCTACACCATGCTTGATGGTATCCTTCTTACTGGAAAATCAGCATTCAGAAATGCCACTCACACTTCAGATGCAAATCATTGTGTTTCTCTAGCCATGTACACGCTGCTGGGCAACGCGAACGGGGCCACCTGTGCGTTTCCGTTCAAGTTTGAGAACAAGTGGTACGCGGATTGCACCAGCGCCGGGCGCTCGGACGGGTGGCTCTGGTGCGGAACCACCACGGACTACGACGCAGATAAGCTATTTGGGTACTGCCCTTTGAAATGTAAGTAACCGTTTATCATCAGGAAGAGTTTGGCACGTTTGGTATGGCTTGGTAGCGATCAGGAATTGCATTTATATGGAGCATTCCTCCCCACCCCCCAGAGTAATTTCACATTTAAGATCTCATTATATCTCACCAGAAGCCTTTAGGGACTGCATCATCTCAGTTTTACAATGGAGAAAGTGATCCACTTTGGCTGGAGACTAGATCACAGCCCTTTGGACTCTCAGCCCTGGGATTTTTATGTGTATTGAGATCTTGGTAACAAGAGTAGACTGTATTCTTCCCCCGCCCCATCTGAACATCTCCTGAGATCATGAGACTGGACTCCACTGTCCCAACCTTCCCTGCAGCAATTGACCTCTTTATTTCTCCCTGTTCTCAGTTATTTTCTAAGACTTCAGGGCAAATTAACCTGTACGCAATGCGATATACTTAACGCCTAGCTCTGGAAGCATGCAAGCCATGTTCTCACCCCCAAACGCTTTTACCTTTGGGAAACTACAGATTAAAAACCAGAAATAAGCGTAGGGTGTGATGGAGAGAGAGGCCCCTGAATTTTGTTTCATTGGAATGAAAGGGCTCCTTATGTGAAAATAATAATAATGATACTCTTTTTATGTTTAATTTAATTCAGATAGCCAGGAATCACTGGAAGTGGGCCATGTACATGCTTGAAAGTTTTTGACAAGGGAACGTTTAAGTTGCATGATGGGAAAGAAGTAGGATCACATCACACGGGAGGGAGGACTCCAGGGCAGATGAAGACTTGGTGTTTGAGGAAACTGTGGCAGGTTTTTATCCGGGGGGAGGATGTCAGCATTGGGTGGCAGAACTGGGGCCAAGGAAAGAGGAAAGGAAAGTGTTCCTTCTCTCTTTGCTTCACTTTCCCTGACACCAACTGCCCCCTTCTTCCTTCCTCACCTTCTTAGCCACTGACCTCTCGCCTGCCACTTCAGGCTGGATCAGAGCAGCTCCCGCTTCTTGGTACCACCCAGGACTCTTCTGCTGCCCTGCACAGGGGAGAGGCCAGGCAGGACTCTGATGGGGTCCGGGAGGATTGCGAGGCTGCCTGAATTGTAGTAATATCACTTAAGACTCTGTTTTCAGGACCACAAATCTGCTCCTAATCCACATCATTTCCAACACTCTTGTAAAACAGTACAACTTTGAAAAATAACTTGGCTTGTCAAATTAAAGCCAGAAGTCTAAAAACTGTGCTTATTTATCTCTTTTGATCTATACCCTCTGCTCACTCGTCTGAAAGTAAACTTGATTTCCTGAGTGCACACTCACTTCTAATGGAACAATCTCCACAAAAGCTCCCAGCCTTCCTGCTCTTGCTCATGCTGCTCTTCCATTCTTGACTGGAGGGAGACGTATTGACCCCTCTTCTGGCAACCTTTATACGTTTGATTCCCACTAAAGATTTATAGATGTCAAATTTTTATATTAGAAGTCTTTTTCTGAAAAAGTAGCTCCCCCCACCCCCACACACAGACAGAGAAATACCAGTTTTCCATTGATTGAGGAGGATATTTCTCCTTTGCTTGATAGGAATAATATTTTCTAAATCTGTTTCATGGAGTTTCTTAGGAGTTTACATGCAATGGGGTCCGACTGTATCATCTTCCACTTAATGGTACTGATTGACAAAAGAGTTGATGGATGAATACGTGATCTAATGAATGAAATGTACATGACAAATTATAAATCCCTCATCACAAAGGAAACTCACAACCGCGGATAGCCTTAACTATGGGCTGGAGAGGTGTCCTGAGTATGCTCACTACAATAAATTTTTAGTCTTATTATTACTTTTAATTTATGTTTTCACCACCAAATGATATATACTTTTTCCTATTAAATGTGAAAGTAAAATAATTATAAGCCATTTGATTTCAATGTGCATTGCAAATCTCAAGCATACTTTATTTGTTTCATGCCTGTCATAAGGGCTTTGCAATTTCTTACTCTATTTCATCTTATGCTCCTTTCAAAAGAGCATTTTCTTCTCTATTAACCTTAAATTAGCCTTAATCTTCGATGCAGGAAGATGAGGTCCCGGTTCTTGACCTGGCAACTGTTAATATAGACACTTCATTGTGCATTGCATTGTTTATCGTAATGTTTTCCTTCTAGGTAGAGATTAATTTTCAAGTATCATGAGAACAGGAAAAGGAAAAGACCCTGTTCTTTCAGTTCTCTCGAGCTTGCAACTTTAGCTCTCAACATCAGTCATGCTGGTTTTCTGTGGGAACTTGAGCTCTTTGGGGCTATGTACAGTCAGCAAAGCTTTATATTCGTTGAGAAGTATCTTTTAATCCCTTGACTTAAAGTGCAAAATATGCTTTAAGTGAAGAGTCAATGGCATTTCCTTCTTTGGTCATTTAGATCACTTTCCCCCATTCCTGGAACATGAAAAGAATCCTCCCCGTTTTAATATCTCACATTTTCTGTTATATCACAGAGTAGAGACTCAAATGAATTGTTTAAAACAATCTCTGTCTTCAAGTAAACCCCAAATCGTTCTCACTTGATCTCATTCACGTACGCAATCGACGTACCACCTCAGGTCATTATAATTTAAATTTAGCCTCACTAATTCAAATTTATTTCTTATAGAACATACTATGATTTTGTCATTAAAACATCTTCAAAATTTCTGTTGCCAGAATCAAATTTTGATACGTTTTCTTCCTCCTGGATGTGCCAGGGAAGCACAAGTTTCATATCACAGTGTGTGGTGTTTTATCACCGTGTGAATAAAAGGTCTGATAAGGTCTCTTCCTCATCAGATACAAAGCACAGTGGAGCACAGAATTGTGAATGAGGACAATATAAACTATATGGAAAGCAGCCTAATATCACAGTCCATTGAGTATTTCACAGAAAATTTGAGAAGTTATATAATCCTTTCTCACTTCCTTACAAATAAATTAAAAGATTAATACTTTACACGGCTCAAAAATAGAACCCTAGGGTATTAAAAAGAAAAAAGAGAAATTTTCTCAACATAAAGCATATATAAATATTTTGTTTACTAACTTCTGAAACATAGGTAAAGACTATAAATAGCATTTATCTATGCATAATAGAGAACATCCAGGTTTCTGAAATGTATTGGGAACTGTACAATAGAAAAGAAAAAAGATTATAAAAAATAATTTTATTTTACTCCAAAGAAAGAAAAAGTAACAAATAGTATCTACTATTGGAAAGAGCTTTTCCTATATTGCATACATCCTAGTGATGAGAGAATGAGACTCCCCAAGTTCATGATTTAATGTATAGGTAAAATACCCACTTGCTGAGAGAAGATATATATTTATTTTCTTTCATTCCCTTACCCTCTTACCTCTTTTTCTTTTTTTATGTCTCGATTAAGGACATCGGGCTGGTATTTCTATTCTTTGTCTTTATAATTACTTCACTTTCCAACTCCTCTGATTCCAGATTTCCCAAAGGAGAATAGGACTCTATGCTTTCTTTTCTTTCTGCATGTGGAAGAGATTGGATGTGGATGTAGCTAATTCTTTGAAACCTCCCTTCTCCCCCACTTCATTTCAGGAGTAAAGAAAATCCCAAAGCCACTTTAAAAATAAGTGAAAGGAAAAAAATGAAAGGAAAGGAAAAGAAAGATAATGTTTTAGGCAATCGTGCTGCTAAGCTAGTTTAAAAAATAGTGTTCCCTGAAAGTGTTTTCTGTGCAGACTGTAGCACATTCTCCTTGACTTCTTTCACAGTTGAGGGCAGTGAAAGCTTGTGGAATAAGGATCCGTTGACAAGCATTTCCTACCAGATAAACTCCAAGTCTGCTTTGACGTGGCATCAGGCGAGGAAGAGCTGCCAACAACAGAATGCTGAACTCCTGAGCATCACCGAGGTCCATGAGCAGACCTACCTGACAGGTAATGACATGGAAACAAGAGCTGTCATTAAAATCGTGATTAGAAGTAGGCGGCACAGGGATGACAGACGTCATGACAGAGTCATTCCGTGAGCAGGTTATGCGGATGGTATGATGGGTCTCCACTCTGAACATGACACCAGGGATGGTGAATAGTTCTCTGCTCATGGGCCAACTTTGTTCTATGGGTTCGATGGGTCCCAGAGCCAGTGCTAAGAAGGATTCAGAGGACTGATCTAAACTCAGAGTAAAAAATGCCACAATTAATTATGAGTGTTTTTCTTGGACATGAGGCTGGTCAGGTATCTGCTATCTGGGTCTAACATGAAGCCAGAGATCTTTTATGCGTACCACACTGTGGAGTTTAACATGATAAAATACAGTGCTGCCCCTGGCAGCAGGGAGAAGTCAGAGGTTGCTCTGATCCCTGGCTCTCTTGTCTCTCTCACTCCCAGGGTCTCTGGTTTTCAGGTCTTATAGATACTCTTTCCATAGTGTATTTGCGTGTGTGTGTTTAAAAATCTGTTCTTCTAAGATTGTGAAGACTTGACAGGGCTAATGTTTGCATGAGAAGAGAGTATATATTTTAGCGTCTGTATACACAGGGGGAAACAGTGAGATTAGAACCAGAAATAAATGTGGGAGCGAAACCATCCCCAATTTCCTGGCCTCTAAATCCCCTGCCTTCAGTTTACCCAGACACTGCACTAGAATAGTATCGCTCCTATGAGTTTGAAACGCCCTCACTGGCTCCTTATTTCTCATCAAATAGTTAATAAAACACCTTTGGTAGACATTCAAAAGCTGTCATCCATCCACCTCTGTTCCTGTCAATGCATTTTGCACAGACGAAAGAAAAGTCTTTGTTCCTCATCTATCTTCTCACCTCCATGTCTTTTCCCATATTGTTTTCTTCTCCCTTGCCAATTTTTTTTTTTTTGCAGTTTTTGGCCGGGGCTGGGTTTGAACCTGTCACCTCCAGTATATGGGGCTGGCGCCCTATTCCTTTGAGCTACAGGCGCCACCCCCTTGCCAAATTTTATACAATGGACTTGTAATCATTTTCATTTCCAACTGCATTTCTCTTATTTAATTTTTGCCATTTTTTATAGCAGTTACTTACATATATGCCCCTCCTCTACAAGACTGTAAATTAATTGTTTTAATTAAGATAATTAATAATTAAAATATAATTATTTTTAATTAATCAATTGATTTATTGCACAGAATATCTGGTACCGCTGTGCCGGGCTTTATACTAGGTCTTGGCGACGTCAAAGCCAATGCCATCTTGTCCACATAAAGTCCAATGGGGAAAACAGATATAAACAAGAAAGCAAACAAATGAATAGGTACAAGTGATAGCAGGTGCCATGCAGCAGGCCAACTGGAGGCTAGAAATGGGGACTGTCTTGTGAGTATATGTGTTCCTTCTTTCTCCCAAGGAGATTCCACAGAAAAGAGTCATGATGGATGAATGCCAAATGAAAAGAATTACTTAGAAACCCAGCCTAATGTTTACACAACTGCATAGTTTATGACAAGGCAGTAAGCACAGTGGTTCTTAAATGCAAAGTTGCTTGTTCACATCACCTGGGAACTTTGTTCGAGTGAAGGTGCCCAGGCAGGCCCAGGCCCCGGAGATTCTAGATCAGTTGCTGTGAATTTGGGCCCGGGGATCTGTATGTTATCACCTAGCCAGGTGATTCTGGGGCAGGTGGTTGAGGGACCATATTTGGTGAAAGACTGTTAGTATTTGCTATATACAGGCAGCAGAGTGCAGGGGTTAAGAAAGTGGATTTTGGAACCAGACAGCCTGCGTGCCTGCTCTGTGAAGCTGGGGAGCTTAGGGATATTTCCGGAGGTATCAGTGACTTCTATTTTTCTTTCTTTTTTTTTTTTTAAACAGAGTCTCACTCTGTCATCCTGGGTAGAGTGCCTTAGCATCACCATAATTCACAGCAACCTCAACCTCCTGGGTTCGAGATCCTCTTGCCTCAGCCTCCTGAGTAGCTGGGACTTTAGGCACCTGCCGCAACACCTGGCTAGTTTTTCTATTTTTAGTAGAGATGGGGCCTCATTCTTGCTTAGGCTGGTCTTGAACTCCTGAGCTCAAATCATCTACCTGCCTCAGCCTTCTAGAGAGCTAGGATTATAGAATGAGTCAAATAATTCATGTAAACCTTCGGTCCTCAACCTGCCTTCCTGAGTCTGGTACCACCAGTCTGTGGCCTGTTAGAAACCAGGCAACACAGCATCACCACCTGAGCTCTGACTCTTGTCCCTGCCTGCTGTCCATGGAAATATCAGACTGGTCTTTGATGTCAAAAATTTTGGGGACTGCTGGTGCAAAGCATTCTAAGGGCTAGAGTACATCCCCCAACCTCACCTCATTTCTTAGCACCTCTCTTTTCCACGTGTTTTCTGCCGATGCCCTCTTCTCTGCAACACATCCACCCTATACATTATCATTAAAGAGACTGTGAGTAGAAAAGTGCTAGGATCTCCCTGTATGCATTCATAAACTCAGAGACCAATTCTGCCTCAGTTAGCACCAATTATTCTTACTCTACATTGGACTTCGGGGCTCTATCATATTGAGACAAAAGTCAGATTCATCTTGACAACCTTGTATAAAAATAAGGAGGCAGAAGAAAGCACCAGAAGAGAGGAAGATAAATTCATGTAGATGAATGTTTCTTAAGGAATTAAGAAATAGAAATAGATGATTAAGAAATAGAAAAGATGATTCACAACAGTCCTGAGGTTATTTGAGTACATTCCCGTGGGTGGGAGAAACTCGTATAGAGTTTTAACATGGTTTCCATTGGGGTGTATGTGTTGTTTACTTATTTGAATCTTTTTGTGGATTGCATTATGTTGACTTGTTCCAATGTTTGCTTGTTTTCTGGTTTTCTGGAAGACAAGGGACACGGCCCAGGTTACCTTTTACTCCTTTCACTGGCTAAGTGGAAGCAAGGGTGACATGATTAGATGGTGGCTTTGCCTGCTACAGACTCATTTCCTGGACCCTGGACTCTGCTGTCAGAGTTGGGCTGCAGGAAATGCTTTCCAAGGATGATCACTGTGTCCCGCCAGCACAGCAAACAAGCTGCCAGAGGTTCAGAGGCTGAGTTCACCTTAGATACTTACCTGACTCTTATCATAGCCTGTGGAATCTTAGTCAGCAAATTTTAACTGAAATCTGGTTAAGAAGGACATCTCTAATGAGATTTGTAGTAATTCCTGCCTTTCTTTTCAAAGTCAAAAATATCATGCATTGGGGAAGTCTGACAGAAAATTTAAAAAAATTAAATACAGGAAAGATATACCCCCACCTTATTTTGAAGAAAGATATTAACAACATTTGGTATTTCTTAAGATACATTGGGGAAGAATCTAGAAAATAAGGGGCCGAATGGGGGATTGTGATCCATTGCATTATGGGAAATGCACCATTTAGAAAACAACCTACAGTTAACACTTTACAAATAAGATTTCTCTTAGGTGAGGATTTTGAGGAATGTCACTTAAAAATTGTATAAGCCCATTTGATGACTCTGAGATTCGATTCGCTGTCATCTGTAGAACACTAAATTTTATTTGGAAAGCTCTCACCAACCTCACCAACCTCATAAATCCCCACTTTACAGATGAGATAACAGAGCAGGAGGGAGAGGCTAGGAAACTGCTTCATGACTCCTGTGAGAAAATAGCTGAGCTGGAATTCAGCCTGGTCTTCTGTTTTATCTTGCACGTGTCTCGTTCTCTAAACCATCAAGGATCTGGTGGTCCCCAAGTGCTAAGGAGAGCGCTTATCAGAGGCACCACGTCTCCTCCCTCCGGTTCTTGTGTTTCAAACCGGCAGTCTCATTTCCTATTATCTGCCTGGCAAAGGCACGCCAACCACAGCCATTTGATTATCTTCACCACTTCTGTTTCAACCCTGAAAAATGCTGGGACATTCTATTTAATCCTCAATTCCTGAATCTGATTGATGAGTACATAGGTCCAGGATTAGGATTTACAGAACTGAAATAAGATACGGGAAGTGAAATTTGGCTTGTTTCCCTGATTATGTTTTTACCAGTTTCCTTTGGTACTGCCTGGAAAACAAATTGGACCTCAGTGTAGAAAAGAAAGCAAAAATACCAGTGTTAAAAGTGACCTTTCATACATTTTTTTTTTTTGGTCATAGTCAAAAGAAGGTATATAGTCACTTCAGATAATAGATACAGGAAGTTAAAAATTTAATAATTTAGCATGCAAAATTGACGTTTTTCATAGCAATAGTAAAAGTATTTGTGACTGTTCCTTTGTAAAATTATGAAAGTGCAATAGAGGAAAAAAATTGGGTAATGCTCATCGGCTTTAAGTGATATATTTAACAGAAGGTTTGAATTTTGTTTCTAAATCACACCTTGCCAATTCCATTAGTAATAATAATCCTATTAATAATAATATTGGTAATAAATAGCAGTAACTTAAATTTATTGAACAAATGCTATACATGAGGCTTTGTTTTAGAAGGTATTAATTAATTGGCTGGGCATGGTGGTTCATGCATATAATTCCATCACTTTGGGAAGCCAAGGTAGGAGGCTCCCTTGAGTCCAGGAGTTTGAGACCAGCTTGGGCAATATAGCGAGGTTCCGTCTCTACAAAAATAAGGAAAATTACCCAGGCATGGTGGCCCATGCCTGTAGTTTCAGCTCCTCAGGAGACTGAGGCAGGAAGATCACTTGAGCTCAGCAGTTTGAGGCTTCAGTGAGCTACCCTCTAGCCTGGATGAGAGAAGAAAATCTTGTCTTTAAAATAAATAAACATGATAAATTGATTTAATTATTTGTAGATGTGCTTAGAAGCGCCAAGAGCTGATAATTCCCTTAAAGGGCTGTTATCATTTCCCATCATGGCAAACATAGTAATTTAATTAAGAAATTTCAGACAAAAATCTAATTTAATTCTTCTTTAATCAGTGAATTATTAATAGTTTTTTAAAACTCAAATATACTTCTTTCTTAACTAATACTTTTTTTTAAATCCCAGAGTAATTGGGGGACTAGCCATATTTAATATTTCAAAATGCTATTTTCAAGAGCATTTTCTTTAGAATACCTCTCTGCGGCTCAGTGCCTGTGGCTCAAGCAGCTAAGGTGCCAGCCACATACACCTAGGTTGGAATCCAGCCTGGGCCTGCCAAACAACAATGATGGCTGCAACCAAAAAATAGCCGGGCGTTGTGGTGGGCACCTGTGGTCCCAGCTACCTGGGAGGCTGAGGCAGGAGACACGCTTGAGCCCAGGAGTTGGAGGTTGCTGTGAGCTGTGATGTGATGGCACTCTACCCAGGGGGACAACTTGAGGCTCTGTCTCAAAAAAAAAAAAAAGAATACATCTCTGCAGTTATATAGAGAGTTATTAATCAGGTTAGTACAACCTTAAAGAATTTGTGAAAAAAATCATCTAATGTTCAGTTTTATTTCATAGTGTAATTACTGACCTAGAGCATAATATCAATGTGATACTGACCCCAGTGTACTTTAAGGTATGGTTTGGTAGGTAGTATTTCCTCTTGGCACCTTATAACTTATTTGTTTACCTAAATGATTTGGGGCAACACTTTTTAGTTGGTTTAACTTATCCTAAAATAAATATATAATAACATAGTACTCATAAGTCTCCAAAAAAAAAATTATGGAATAAATTCTGAAATAGAAGGTCAGAATAGTAAGTTATAAAAGTGGTAAGTTGAAACATTTATGACAATTTTGCCATCAGAGTAACTTTTGACTTTTATACAAAATAAATCTTTTTACTCCAAAATGAAGTAAAAATATCACGATTTGATAACAGTCATGTCCAAATAAGAATCACATTCATGGCTCGGCACCTATAGCTCAATCGGCTAAGGCGCCAGCCACGTACACC